CATTTACTAACATGATATCGTTGATGTTGGTATAACAACTGAAGTACAATTCCAGTAATAAGAGGTATTTAAGAGACAATTTATAATACTTATACAGAAGGTGCCGACGGGGTCTGTTCTTCTAAATAACTGTTCTTGAATGTTTTTTTTTTCCTTGGAAAGGGATCTTGAGCTACATTGCTGACACAATGCAAATGTGGCGCCCTTCCTTCTTTAAAATATTTTGTTACTGGCAAACGTTTTTTCAAAAAAGGCTTCTATAACGTGTTTATGGTCAAAAACGGCTTATATTTTTTTAGTTATGATTTTTTAATTTTTCTGGCAGAGCCTCTTTCTTCCTAAATTTCTCACTGTCAACCAGTTGTGACTTACAGCTGGCTGGAACATAAGAACAGATATACTTCTCCAAGGAACTCGTCGGCTATTCCTGCTCAAAAACGATTGCCAGGAACACAATTATTTAAAAGAAGGATGGGTCCCATCTTTTGCTTGTGAAAATGTCAACAATGTAGCTCAAAATCCGTTTCCCAGGAAAAAAAATCGTACAAGAACAGATATTTAGAAGAACAGACCCCGTCGGCTCCTCCTGCTTATATATGGGCATCTATCAAGACAAAGACATAACAAAACAAGTCATAATTGTATAGACTCTCATCGGGGTACCTCTCCGACCATTTTCGAAAAGAACGACCTCCCCTTTTACATGCTGGTCTATTGAACTGACGAAAAGAGAAACATCCCGTTCTCAAGGTACTGCTTYAATAGATCACTCGTCCCTTCCGGTGCTATCATAAGGTATCTATCACGCATTACAGAATAATTGAAAATATCGACTGATCGAATGGGATTACTCAGTATCAACGATGTTATTGTACTCCTATCGACCAAAGAAAAAATATAGTTTAGTTGAATGTCCTATAGAGTACTAAAGTGATGACGTCACAAAACGAAAATGCTTGAGTTTTGAAATTTGCCCTCCATATTCTGAAAGTGCATATAATTGTTAATGCATCCTTGCTAAATATGAATGTCTTAAGTCCCGTKTACACTTGCAATTTTTGCAGCGCGATTGTCGCGCGACAATCGCCTTAGTTTCGAACATATTTGAAATTTAGCTGCAACTCGCGGCGATTTTTGATCGTCGCGACAATCGTGGGGCTGTTTACACGTACGATTTGAGGTGCAAGAGAGCAAAGTGGCGATTGTCGCGCGACAATCGCGCTGAAAAAATTGCAAGTGTAAACGGGCCTTTAGCGCCACTTATAGCAGAGATACATGCGATTTTAGGTCAAGTGACCACATACAAATGCTTATAAATTTGGTCTTGTTCCTTTCCAGAAGGAGCCGACGACGAAAATTTCGAAAAAAAAAGTATTTTTGTGACGTCACACTTTAGTACTCTATTCACCAAGTAACTTTAAAAAGTCTATTCTCTCGGAATTTGTTCTTGCGATGCAKAATTTTTGTCTTTTATTGATTTCGACGATATTTTACCTRACCTTCTTTTTCTCGGTCTAAAACATCTATTCACATCGGCCWTAATGTAAATCTCTCATCATTGTAACTCATTTTTGAACATAACTCGATTATACATGGCTGAGAACGAGTCAAGCCACCGGTAGGCATGTTCAGTGTAAATACAGAATTCCTTTTAATTCCTTTGTAAATACAGAAAACCTTTTCATAGAAATTGACTTCTAAATCTTTATTTATTTCTTAATTTCTTTGCTTTTTAGCAAATGTTTCACAAACGTCAAAGAAATCAAGTGTTTATTTTGTCTTTTTCCTTCAACAGCTGCTTATTGCAGGCACTAAGATCGACGGAGACAATACTGATTCAAATTAAAGGCAAGACGGATGATGGTTCGCTAATGTTGCTGATGAAGTGGCCAAGTTTGCGATCATAAATGAAAGATTCACCTCGATTAATTGAACCGAATACTTCTCAACAATATTTCGGATTTGCTGATCAAGCCAGAGTTGTGAAAAAGTCAA